GAGAGGAGCAGAGTGAGAGATAGCTGTGTAGATTATATAGAGAGGAGCAGAGTGAGAGATAGCTGTGTATATTATATAGAGAGGAGCAGAGTGAGAGATAGCTGTGTATATTATATAGAGAGGAGCAGAGTGAGAGATAGCTGTGTATATTATAGAGAGAGGAGCAGAGTGAGAGATAGCTGTGTATATTATATAGAGAGTAGCACAGTGAGAGATAGCTGTGTATATTATATAGAGAGGAGCAGGGTGAGAGATAGCTGTGTATATTATATAGAGAGTAGCAGTCAGAGATAGCTGTGTATATTATATAGAGAGGAGCAGAGTGAGAGATAGCTGTGTATATTATATAGAGAGAGGCAGAGTGAGAGATAGCTGTGTATATTATATAGTTATATATGGGAGGAGTAGAGTGAGAGATAGCTGTGTATATTATATAGTTATGTAGGAGAGGAGTAGAGTGAGAGATAGCTGTGTATATTATATAGTTATATATGGGAGGAGTAGAGTGAGAGATAGCTGTTTATATTATATAGTTATGTAGGAGAGGAGTAGAGTGAGAGATAGCTGTGCCTGATATATAGTTATGTAGGAGAGGAGTAGAGTGAGAGATAGCTGTGTATATTATATAGTTATGTAGGAGAGGAGTAGAGTGAGAGATAGCTGTGTATATTATATAGTTATGTAGGAGAGGAGTAGAGTGAGAGGTAGCTGTGTATATTATATAGTTATGTAGGAGAGGAGTAGAGTGAGAGGTAGCTGTGTATATTATATAGTTATATATGGGAGGAGTAGAGTGAGAGGTAGGTGTGTATATTATATAGTTATGTAGGAGAGGAGTAGAGTGAGAGATAGCTGTGTATATTATATAGTTATGTAGGAGAGGAGTAGAGTGAGAGGTAGCTGTGTATATTATATAGTTATGTAGGAGAGGAGTAGAGTGAGAGGTAGCTGTGTATATTATATAGTTATATATGGGAGGAGTAGAGTGAGAGGTAGCTGTGTATATTATATAGTTATATATGGGAGGAGTAGAGTGAGAGATAGCTGTGCCTGTTATATAGTTATATAGGAGAGGAGTAGAGTGAGAGGTAGCTGTGTATATTATAGAGTTATGTAGGAGAGGAGTAGAGTGAGAGGTAGCTGTGTATATTATATAGTTATGTAGGAGAGGAGTAGAGAGAGAGGTAGCTGTATATTATATAAGTTATGTAGAAGGAAGTAAGTGAGAGGAAGTAGCTGTATATTATATAATTATAGGAGAGGTGTAGAAGTGAGAAGATAGCTGGCATATATGCAGATTATGTAGGAGAGTAAAAGTGAGAAGAGTAGCTGTATATATTATATAGTTATGTAGGAAGGAAGAAAGGTAGCTGTGTATATTATATAGTTATAGAGAGAGGTAGAAGGTAAAGAGAGGTAGCTGTGTATATTATATAGTTATATATGGGAGGAGTAGAGTGAGAGGTAGCTGTGTATATTATATAGTTATATATGGGAGGAGTAGAGTGAGAGATAGCTGTGCCTGTTATATAGTTATATAGGAGAGGAGTAGAGTGAGAGGTAGCTGTGTATATTATAGAGTTATGTAGGAGAGGAGTAGAGTGAGAGGTAGCTGTGTATATTATATAGTTATGTAGGAGAGGAGTAGAGTGAGAGGTAGCTGTGTATATTATATAGTTATGTAGGAGAGGTGTAGAGTGAGAGATAGCTGTGTATATTATATAGTTATGTAGGAGAGGAGTAGAGTGAGAGGTAGCTGTGTATATTATATAGTTATGTAGGAGAGGAGTAGAGAGAGGTAGCTGTGTATATTATATAGTTATATAGGAGAGGAGTAGAGTGAGAGGTAGCTGTGTATATTATATAGTTATGTAGGAGAGGAGTAGAGAGAGGTAGCTGTGTATATTATATAGTTATATAGGAGAGGAGTAGAGTGAGAGGTAGCTGTGAATATTATATAGTTATGTAGGAGAGGAGTAGAGTGAGAGGTAGCTGTGTATATTATATAGTTATGTAGGAGAGGTGTAGAGTGAGAGATAGCTGTGTATATTATATAGTTATGTAGGAGAGGAGTAGAGTGAGAGGTAGCTGTGTATATTATATAGTTATGTAGGAGAGGAGTAGAGAGAGGTAGCTGTGTATATTATATAGTTATATAGGAGAGGAGTAGAGTGAGAGGTAGCTGTGTATATTATATAGTTATATATGGGAGGAGTAGAGTGAGAGGTAGCTGTGTATATTATATATAGTTATGTAGGAGAGGAGTAGAGAGAGGTAGCTGTGTATATTATATAATTATGTAGGAGAGGAGTAGAGAGAGGTAGCTGTGTATATTATATAGTTATATATGGGAGGAGTAGAGTGAGAGGTAGCTGTGTATATTATATATAGTTATGTAGGAGAGGAGTAGAGAGAGGTAGCTGTGTATATTATATAATTATGTAGGAGAGGAGTAGAGAGAGGTAGCTGTGTATATTATATAGTTATATATGGGAGGAGTAGAGTGAGAGGTAGCTGTGTATATTATATAATTATGTAGGAGAGGAGTAGAGTGAGAGATAGCTGTGTATATTATATAGTTATGTAGGAGAGGAGTAGAGTGAGAGGTAGCTGTGCCTATTAT